TTGCAAATGGCATTATGTTGTCGGTTTTTATGGCTGAGTAGTATTCCATTGTATAAATATACCACATCTTCTTTATCCAGTCACCTGTCGATGGACATTTAGGCTGTTTCCATGTTTTGGCTATTGTAAATAGTGCTGCTATGAACACTGGGGTGCAGGTGTCATCCTGAAGCGATGTTAAGTTTTAAGATTCACATTTCATAGGATTATGAATAATAATTTGACAGCAATAAATACCTTCTAATCACAGTTATTTGAAAAGATCACGATGGCTGAACATTCCTGGTACAACGTTCTTACAATGTTACTGTGATAGAATAAACCTAATCCTCCCGAGAAAGAATTTTCTTTGAAAACGCTAACAAATCGTCCCCCCAAAACAGGCTCTTCATCACTGTCACCGATTTCTGGGGACACTTTATAGCACCAGAGAAATGGCCGAGCCCCTCTCTGCCACCCTCAACAGAACGCTGCCACCATCAGTTACCCACCCCTGGAGCCTGAGGCCAAGTCTCCCAGCTCCACCATTGTCTCCCTCTCAAAGGGCCAGCAGGACTAGCTAAAGAAGTTGCAGGACCCAGTGCAGAATGGAAATGTGGGGCCCCTAATTCAAAAATTATTGAGAACTTGAAGTGCCTGCAAGCATGGGCCAGCCCCTCTGCACACAAGCCTCGTGCCGGCGGAGTCGGCCTGGACCGCCAGCTCCTCCTGTGAGGCGCTCGTGGGACTGACGAGGCTTGGAAGGTGACGACCAGTGCTTCCAGCTCTAGCCCGGGACTTCGCAGTTTCTCGCAGTGCGTCCTTCCGCTCGTTTTTAAGTTTCTAAACTCAGGTGGTATTTCTCAATGTACAAACCCAATATAACACGCATTACTGATCCAGCTGAAAAGACTCTGAAAACCATGGAAACCAAATGGCAGACAATTCTCAGCTTAAAATGTGCTGTCTTTTCCCTACATCTTATCATGAGGCGTATTTTACGTGTTTTAGTTCTTGTTGGCTAAGGAGCGGCATGTCCTGAATGACCCTGAAATCTATCCTCAGAAAATCAAAAATTCGAAACAGATGGAGTGTGCACACCAAATCCCATGGCTCACACATGAAAGTTATCTTGTGCCAGCTTCTTTTTTAACTAGGGTCAGATCTACTATAACATTGGTTTTCTCAATGACGATCTATTTTCAGTGCAAACTTCCCTTTCCCCTTCCCTGTTTTGATTACAAAGCCGCTGGGGCAGAGTCTAGCGAAAGGAGCTGAGACAAGAACCAGTCTGACCCAGATACCGTTTGCTGAGTGGGCTCCACGTGCCAGGCATAGTTCTAATATTACACAATAGGTACCTCTGAACCTGGCGGCTCTGGGCGGAGGAGAAACAATACCATTTACACCATCAATTTGGATTAACTGTCTTCCGTTTTCTTCTCCTGTGTTTATGGGTTCTTAGTGGTTCAAAAAACATTTTTACAACCAGAGAAAGAGAGAGGGAGAAAGAGACACAGAGACAGAGAGAGAGGAGAGACAGACAGACAGAGAGACGGGGAGACAGAGATTTACATCAGCAGTAAAAATGAGTTTAAATCTGTTGCAATTTCCAACATTTTTGACATCACTCTGAAACTTCCACGTGGTCCACTGAATTCAGTGTCAATCCCACAGGCCAACCTTTTCACCCAGTGCTTGGATCTGTGCGGAATCGTTCCCCGTTCTCTCCCGCTGAATCACATCGACAGACCATATTCATCATCATGTCATCTTGAATATACTTCTTATCATTTTTGCTTTTTTATGTATCTTCTTTCGGGGAAGTGTACTCCAGACCACTCTGCCATAGACAAACCAGCCAGCACAGTCTAAGTTGAATCGTGTTTCTTACTTCCACCTGGATTCCGCACAGCCATGGCTTCCAGCCGATGGACCAGACTCTCGTTTGGCGGAGCAGACTCAGACGTACCGCTGAGGCGCATCTAGAAATGCTAAGCTTCTCACAGAGCTGGTCTCCTCGTGAGTGATTGTGGGCTCTGCTCCGTTGGCTGCACTCTGGTTTCCTTCACCGGGACGCGCCAGGATTGTAGCAGGCGGCCCTGTAGCCCGGGCACTGGGCTTGGCAAGGTGTTTGAAAACACAAGGACGTGATAACCACGCCTGAGAAACAGGCAGTACGGCTCAGCAGGGCTGCGGGTGCGCAGAGCGTCCCACAGGGTCACAGCAGAGGGCTGCTAGCTGCCCGGCGAGAACCGGACAGTGAAGCGCGGGAACACAGGACCGGGGCTGGGAGTCGAGGCACTGTTGGCCCACTGATCAGGCTCGTCTCCTCCGAGGGCCGGCCACGACCCCAGCATACGCCAAGCCAGAGGGCTGGTATCGTGGACTAGACGTGCTCCCCCACATTCGCAGAAAAGATCTAAGAGGCGGGAGTCCGGCGAGCTATGGGGACATCTTAGCAGAGCAGCCCTGAGTGGGAAACAGCAGGAGAAACACGGAGGAGGGAGGAAAACAGACATCTGTGGGATTCATGCATGTGGCACGTCTAGAGGGTCCGCTAACGACTAGACCTGTTTAAGGAAGGCTTTCTGAGTGGGTGAGCTCCCGGCTGCCCTGGGGGACACCCTTCTTGACAGGACGCTCCAGGTCCCCTACAAGAGGTCCTCACCAGGGGTTTCAGCGCTGGCGGGTGGAAAGCTTTCTTGGAGAAGCTCAAGTTCCAAGAAGTCTGTGCCTACTTGCCTTCAGCCCGTAAGAACGGGTTCGGATTCTTCACAAACTGAATTCCATTGTTGCAGAGATAAAGCAAAACAAAACATCACCAGGAACTTCACTGGGGAACTTGTTTTATAACTGATGCTGCATGAAACAGTTCTGTGTGGTCTATTCACTCAGAAACGGAAAATTCACTCCTTTCAGTTTCCGACTGCCTCCACAACTGGCTCTTCCATCGCTTTATTTACACGCTAGGTCGTGCGCGTGGGTCGTCGTGATAAAAATGCACCCACACTTTGCAGAGCAAGGGCACGGTTTTCACCCGGGATTCAGCCGGACACTGATCTAATGCTCTACATGCTAGACTCTGAAGTTCCAGTTATGGATGCCAGACATTCCAGCTCAAGATCCAACCAGAGAGGGTGGGTTTTAACACCAAGCCCAGTCAGGAATCTGACTCTTAAATCACATCCTTGGAATAATTTAAAGGGGCCATTGTTCACAGTCGGTGGCAAGTCTATTTCCCGTTTCCAGCACTTCGCAGCATCCTGCGACCTCTCAGAACGGCCCAGCTCTCTCTCTCCACGACGTCGCCCTTTCCCTCCCATCTTGCTTCTTCATTTGCCTCTCCGCTTTCTGTTGCTCTGTCCTGTACAGACACCCCCCCAAGAAACTCTCCGGGAATAGCCCGTGAGGAGGGCACACTGTCTTCAGCTGTGATTAATTTTCTTGGCAAAATGGACCCCCTATACACTTTACCCTTCCTTTTCTGGGAAGCAAAGCAGGGAGGAGTTACATGGTTGTGCCCAGATGCTCTGGCAAAGTGTGGACAACTTCGACATATCAACCCTTTTTCTCCTTTCATACCTACACAGTTCCTAAAATAAGACATTTCTTCACACACTGTCTCCAGAGTCCTAATATGCCACCTCTTTTCAAAGTATACAGTTTTCTGCACGATTTTTAAAGATACGTGGCTGTTGAACTGCGGCTACTGCCGTAAATTGCTAATTATCTCTGCTGCTTACAGCTCCCGAGACTTGAGAAACTCGGAGGAGAGCCCAACGGACAGCACGATTCAGAACTCCAGACTTTCTGGTAAGAGTAGGAAACTGATTACAATATTCAGAATGTAAGATTCTAATAAAAAAAAACATAGCCCTAAGTATTTTTCTGTTAATTTATTTTATTATATGAAACATACATACTCATTATTTCGAATGTTCAAGCAATATGGAAAAGGAAACAGTGAAAAAGAGATCTTGTCTCTCAGTCCCCAGGCTGAGTCACTGTTACAAATTTCCTGTCTAGTCTTCAAGATTCCCCTTGCAGTTGAAGATTCTCCCTGTCTCCATCCGTCTGTCTGAGGGTGATGCTCTGCCACTGTAAAGTGCACCTTCCTCTATAATCTGCTTTCGATATTTACCAATATGTCCCGGACATGCTTGCATGTGTCTGTGGCAGCTCCATGTCTTCATCAACTACATGGAATTCCACTGCTGAACTGCCCGTCTTCATGGTACAGCTGTCACTCGCCAGGTGGAAGAAAGAGTATTTCCTATTCTAATGTATTTCACTGAAGCTTCACTATGGTCTTCTGCGGTCACAGCACAGAATGAAAAGAATCTGCATTTTATACTGCGTTCAAGAGGATTTCCTTACAATCAGGAGCTGCTTTTCAGTAGCTTACGCACCAAAGATTATAACCTAGAAGTCTGAATTTTAGCAAAGCCCGCTGCGATTTTGTTTTTGGTTCCATCAATACCATCATTTCTTCCAGAGTTGCATGTGAGTTTCTGCCTATACAGCCCTCATGAGACAAAATCCCTGGAATGCAGGTGTTTTTACTTAGTGTCATTATTTCCAGTCTGTCCGTCACAGCGCCTGACACCTGCCAGAAGTGTGATTCATGAATTATTTAATGATGGGTAAGTAAACAGGCAAATTCAGACTTATTGTTGCAAGTTTATTAAAAAGACAATAAAACTAAAGATTGCCTATGATGAAAAAATATCAAAACCTGTTCTCAGTGGTCTACTTTGAATACAGGGGGAAATTTTATCCACAACTTGGAAGTTACTGTGGCATTTCTAATAGAAATCTTACAGAATTCTACACTTTGAGCCAGGTACTCAGTGAATAATAATTGAGTTAAATAAACAAAATTCTGGAAACTCCTCACAATCTCCACAGCTTATTTTCGATGCCCCGCACAAGCACATGATGCCTTTTTCTCAGAGACGTAGCTCTAAGGATGTGTAATTAGAGCCCTGGTGCTGATAGAGCTCAGGCTTCATCAGGCAGGTGGCCCAGGAGGTGGGGCGGATGGCAGAGACGCTGGCACTTGACATCTCAGAGGGCGAAGCTGCCTCTTCAGTACCGACGGCATTTTGAAACTGTGTAATTTTCTCTCTCTGGCGACCCGCAGTTTTCCATTTGTTTTTATTTACTCAGTAACCCCAGGAAGAGGAGGCTCAGTGCCGAGCCCACGTCCCTCCAGCCGAAGGGAGGTTTCCTTCCGTGTGCTCCAGCTCCAGCGCCCCGCTGCCTCCCAGCCCAGGCCTAACAGTGGAAACCTGCGCGATGTTTGCACCGGGTCCAGAGGTAACGAAGTGCTTCTCTTTCATCTTCCCATCTCTTCTTTCCTCTGACGCTATCAGTGCTGAACATTCATAGTCTGTTACCCGGGCCTCCTCATCAGGCCAAGAGATCCTTACGTTTTTAAAGCTCATCCGTTCATCCACGTGTGATGCACTGAGCATCCATCCCTCCACTCACCCACCCGTCCATCCTCATCCACGTGTGATGCACTGAGTATCTGCTGTGCATCACATGCTAAGAATAGAAAAATACCTAAGACACCCCAGTTTTGTTTTTGACAATTCCGTCTAGCAGAGAGAAAAGGCACCTTATCAAAACAAGATCGACAGCAGAAGCAAGGGCCACGTGTTACAAGACCTTGAATAGACAAGCACTTAGTCAGGAGGCTTAGGAAAGGCTTTGGAGCTGACCTCTGAAGGTGGCCGCGTGGTCACATCATTTCCCCCTCTCTCCCACCGGCTCATCCGTCTTCCAAGTCTGCCGTAATCTCTGGTTTATTTTTCTATCTCCCTCAGAAAACGAAGCTCTATAAAGACTGTGTTTTGCATTTTGTGCCCCTAATATCTGTCACAGCATCAGATGTGAATTAATTAATCGGGTCATGGGTTAATGTGCCTACCCAATAAATCTGCTGAGGGCCAGGCACTCCCCTAAGCACCGCAGATGCAGCCCTCGCGGAGCTGACAGTCTGGTAAACAGAACAGAATCACACAGACCTATAATCTGTTTTTACAGGTAGTTGTGGCAATTGTGCAATAAGGAAGGAAATAACCACCTGGGTGAAAGCTGAGCTGATACAACATTGTTTTGCTTATTTGTTGAGTACCAGTCATGTTCAAAAGCATCTTCTTCAGGCCAGAGACTCTGACTCCACTTGCTAAAGGTTATTTACAAACTATAATGCGAGTAATTAACAAGTATCAGTGCATCATTATGCAGTCCTGCTGATCTGAAGCGCATTACTGCGCTGACCATCATCTGTTAGATGCGCATTTTGCTACTGAGTCCTGGGCCCATAACTGGTTCTCCTTCCACCCACGCTCGCCGGGTTCATCACAGGTCTTACCAGATGGAGCAGGGACCCTCCTGAGGACACGGGCGCGTGGGGGTCGGCCCCTTCCTTCAGGAGTCGCAGCGCTGGAAAAACGAGAGAGAGTGGAGTTACAGCACATCTCTCCTGCACACCCTGAACCCAGTGGGGCCGCATTTCATTAGCACCTAAAACACAAGCAGCATCGAAGCAAAGAGGACACACTAATCGCCATCCGACCTCATTCTGTGGTTTTTTCAATTGACCACAGCATTCTCCTCACTCTGAAACTTCTTCCTCGGTTTCTCAGCATCATTACCCATCACAGCCATGCAAACTATTCAGAAAGGGCAACACAGCTGTAAAATTGACTGTTTCGAAGTGCTTGGCCTATGCATCCTTTGTAGAACAAATAAAGAAGAAGCAAGAAATGACTCCATTCAGCTCATGTATCCTTCAGTTCCCTGAATTTTTATTTTTTTAAACTCCTTATGATCCATTGGTTTAAAACAATAAAAGTTTACACTTGGCACATTAAATTTCCCTTTGTGCAATTACCCCTTGGCCTGGCTCCCGCCATTCTCGAAAAGCCATTTATATCTAAATTAGTAATGTCAAGTAGATCAAAATACACGTCGCTTATCAGAATGAACACACAGTTGCAAAGTGCCCCGTGTTTCCATTTGAACGGCAGAGGTGACTGGCTAGGACACGGAAGACCATCAGCACCAGGAGGCTGTGTCACAGTCTGTGCTACGTGCAGTGGACCCCAAGGCCAGCCTTACAGGGGCGCCTGTCCCCTCCCCAGGACACTGTCCCAGTTTCCACTGTTAAGCAGTACCACAGCTTTAATAAAAAGCCATTCATGCTTTTTCCACAAAAAAATATAACTCGAGCAACTCAAGTTACTCTATTCCGTTATAACACAGAGCTACACAACACGACTCAGATTCGAGCCTCATACCTCCCTGAGCCACTGTCTTTCCACTAACTCTCTCTGTCATCTGGAATGTTACCTGAATGTGTCTTCTTTTCTGCGTCACTCCAAATCTTTTATCTGTCCCAACATCTGCTTTGTCACTATCTTCCCCAACTCTAACTGCACATCACAGAGAGCAGACCGAGGTGCTCCTGCGCACTCCTCCCTCTGGGAAGGCCGTGTCCCGGGTGACGTGCGCAGTGGGTATGAAGGGCGAGGCAGGTCAGCCCCTCCGACGCCGGGCTAACGTGAGAGCAGAGACAACCCACAACCAGCCCACGGTGTCCTCCGGACAGCCCTTCCTAAAATCGAAGCACCCTCCATCCGAGTCTCCCGCCTCAGGGAAGCCAAATACACTGCTGTCCTCTCTGACCAACAGCAGCACTTGGCCCGGTTCCTTGATCTTGCAGCCCCTTCACTCCGGCCCCTCCCAGAATGAACTCCCTACCTAGAAGCATGTCCACATCCACTCACTTATCAAATGGCTTTCCCTTGATGATACTCTTTCTTCAGCTCATAATTTAATTGTTTTCATAGCCTAGATTCTCCAAATGTGGGTAGTTTGTTACCAAAAAGAAAAAAAAACAACTTGTCAAAAGTGGTGACCTTATAGGATCGGTTGTAATTCGTATCACGCAGCTCACCGTTTGCTGACTCCGGCAGCTCCCTTGCCAGCCGTCAGGAGGCCTTTGCCTCTCTTGTCTTCTGAGTGATTTTAATAAGCATCCTGTTGCCTGGTCGTAGGCAGACTACTTCTCACTCTCCTTCTCTGCCTCTCTCTATACACATGTGCAGTAAGTGAATGCACATCTTGTTCCCCCACAGACTTTTTACCCTTAATTTTAAAATGTCTGTTCATGACAACAGAAGAGTTCAGTAACTACATTTACCAATGGTTTTCTCAGAAGAAAAATCACACTGTTACCCTAAGATTGTCTTTTTTAGCAAATAAAAGTATTCATCCTGAACTAGCTAATATCTATCTGGTACTTTGTATTCCTCACAGCAAAGAACTTGTACTAATAATGACTACAAATACAGCATCAGGCAGATTATATTAGTTAAAACATTAATAAAATACTGTCATATTTTTATATAGAATCCACTATGCACATGGGTGGTGATTTTGTAAATATTATAAATCTCTCTACGCCTTAGTTTTCTATCAGTAAAATAAAAGACTACTGTTGGACTCATATCACGACAGTATAATGAGAACTAAGTGAAACAATACATAGCACACTAACCATGCCTCCCAGCACTGCGTGAGGATCATGACATGATTTCTATTAGAATAACTGTAAGTCATAAAAACCCATAGTAATATATCACAGAACATGTACCTTAAGGTTTAGTCTAAATTTTCTCAAAACTCTCTGATTATTAAATGCTGAACTTAAATGCAGGACATAAGCAATGCAAACTTAGCAGTATTCATGGAAGGATGAGTGTACAATTTATCAGGCAGGAAGAGGGGGATGAGGGGGACAATGTAGGAGATGATGGAAGGGTGACAAGCAAGGGGGGGTGTGAAAAGTCCCTTAGGAGTGGAAGCTTGGGTATGACTTGGAGAAGCATGTTGTGGGGGATATTTTACATCCCACTGCAGGATTTGGACATCATTCTGTGGCCAGTGAAGAGAATCACAGGATTTTAAGCAAAGGAGGAGAAGATTCATTAGGTAAGTGCTACGGGCTGCATGTTCGTGTATTCATATGTTGACGCCTAATCCCCAACGTGATGGTATCCGGAAGGGGGCCATTTGGCAGGTGATTAGGAGGTAATGAGGGTGATGCCCTCATGATGGGATTAGTGCCCTTATAAGAGGATGAAAAGACCAGAGCTCTCTCTCTGGCAGGTGAGGACACAAGGAGAAGATGGTCATCTATAAACTAGGAAGCTGGACACCACTAGGAGCCGAACCTGCTGGTGCCTCCCTCCTGGACTTCCCAGTCTTCAGAGCTGTGAGAAAGAAATGTTTTTTAAGCCACCCAGTCTCTAGTCTATTTATTATAGCTGCGTGGGCCAACTAAGACAATAAGAGAGGGCAGCACAAAGGCTAGACAGGGTCTCTTGCTCACCCTTGTGGTTTAAATCCCAAATGAAGATTCAGGCTCAGGGGAGGGGGCGATTCACTGACATGAGGGCTCATGGCTCTGTGGCCATGAACATCCTTCTTGCCACATGAAACAGACAAAGAAGCCCCAGCTCTTCCTTGATCTGGCTAGACATCAGCCTCAGGAGAAAAGAGGGGAGAAATTTGGCATTTTCCTTTCCTAGAGAAAAAGACGGTTTTCTGAAGGGCTGTTCACATTATCGGATAGAACTAGGTCAGAACCACAGACTGGATATGGGCTGGTTTGCCCCTGAATACGATGGGTGCAGAGCAAGAAGAAGACAAAATCAACTATTGATGAAATAAACAAACAACATGTTCTTCACATACGCAAATTGCAGAGTGAGCTAAATTCAATGCCTCTGCTAAGGGTTAAAAGTTGGACATTGTAAGGTACCTAGACAGAAAGAGATAATGAAGAAAACATCACTTGCATAATAAGCACGCCCTGGGCACCTTTCTAAGTATGTAGGGTCTGATACTGCCCCAAAGACTTTAGCACAAGAGTTAATTTGATTCTCTCAACTCTATGATACAAATACTACAATTGCCACTGTTTTACTAGTAAGGAAACTGAGGCCCACAGATAATGAGATGCCCCCAAGCCACACGGTGGGGTGGTGGACCTAGAACTAAGTGTGGTTGGTGTGATCCAAGGATCGTGTTCTTAACCCCGAGGAGCATCTTTACCTCTCGTGTCACCAGAGAGCTGAAGGTGACCCTTCAACCCAGGAACAACAACGGGCCATAAAGACCGAGTTAACGCCCACATAATTACTAGTTCTGTGGGAAACTCCAAATTTAGGTTAAAATACTTTCTCCAAAAAGTTAGGGGTTGAAAGCAGCTTTGCAACGACGCGGTTGGAGCTGACAGTCAAGTGAAATGGCCCACGACTCCGAGTCGCTCTGTTACAATGAAATCTGCAAGGAGGCAGCCTCAGGAAGAACAGCCATCTGGGGACCAGACAGAATAATGATGCTTCCTTTTGTAGACTTACTGCTTGGAATTGATTCAGCATTTATCGTGTATCTGTGGCTTCATCATCAAGCTGCCACAGAACTCCATCGAAATGTCTGTGCGGGGGGCATGACTTGATATTTAAAAAGAAACATTCACTCTCTAAATCTTCAGCTATTGGGGTAAAAATGGATGGAAGTACAGCATAACATTTTCCCCAGGAGCTTCAGTGGAATCTGCAGCTGTCTCCACTAAACTCCCCAGCATCACCAGCCATAATCAAACCCAGCGGGTCCACCCGATCATTATTTTAAGTCTCTAGACATGACCGTGATTTATCTGTGTTGATGACATACAGAACATTGATGATCATCACTTGACAGCAACTTGATGACAGTAAGTACTTTGGGGTCATAGGAGCTGGGGTGGACGTCTGACGACACGGCAGTCTATGACTACTCTCACCTGATTCTCATAACGGTGCATGTGTACTCACAAAAATTTTATGCTTAAAATCAGCAGAGGACAGGAAGAGAGAAACAAGACATAACTATGACTTCTACATTTGGTCCTAGTTAGAAGCCCTGCAAAAGGCATTTTCTAGGAAGAGAAGAACAAATCACGTGGTAAAACAGTAGCAAATAGCCAACCTGGTTGAAGGATATATGGGAGTTCTTTGCACAATTTGTAAGTTAAATTTGATTTCTAAATAAAAAGTTACAGTGAATAGCAACAAGAAAAGAGGGCAGTGTCATTTTTTTTTCCTGCAATGACAACAGAACCATTAATGTCAGGACTTCTAAAAATGTAGGTGTGAGAACGTCCATTAACAATTGATAATCCTCTAAGAAACGCCTTACAAAGTTTACCCGAGCTCATCAGTATGTCAACAAAGAAGGGACAGAGAACGCAGGAATATAGAAATGACATTATCAACACCACAGAAAGGCCTATTTGCTCAGAACACTAATTAATATACAGATTTCCTGTCCTACAGAGAACTGAAATTTTAGGCTACCTGAGAATGACTTGAGGATGCCTTTTTTAAATAGCT